TTTGTTCTTTCTTGAATTACATTAATTTTTCACCATTATCATCTCCCATTTTCCAAAACTTATAAAAATGTTCAGTATTACTCGGTAAAGAACTACTGCTTGCTAATTACCATTGAAACTTTTTTTCTATCAAACACCACGCTAACATCTGCCTGTTGCTACCATGATCACATTGCAAATCAAATTTTAAAGCTTGCAGAATAATCAAAGGTATAAATAAAATAGCATCTGTACATGGTCAGATATTTTAGCAGGTTAAGAAGTGGATCACATCCTAGTGGTGGAAATACATAGTTTGGGAATTTGCTCTATCTTAATTGCACATTAGTTGCTATAACCCTAGGGAATTTTCTAGACAAAAATTTCCTCGTTATTAAATTCCTCAATCCATGCCTTATCATTACCTGTATTTATAAACTTCATTGTCTGTAAATAAAGAATATGGTGACAGAAAGCACTTGGGACAAGACCTACAATGACACAAGGAAAATAAGCAACTCTAGGCATTTAACTTAAAATGCGGATTGAACACATGCAGATAACTGTCTTAGACGATAATGAAGTTTGTTTTGGTTCAAGTTTTGTTTTTTTAAATGTCATTCTGTCTTACTGAAAACTCAAAAATCCTCCCGTGGAGCACTTTTATTAGGCAGAAAAACAAGAGCAGACCTGAATGAATGCTTTCTCTCAGCACTCTGCCCTTTCTCTCTTCCTCTCTCTTCAAAATTCAAGGTGCTTCTGAAGCATAGAACACTCAGCTTTTTTTAAAGGTCCCCAGAATCAGTGAATGCTTTGCTGTTCAGAATTTAGCTTTTTGAAAGCAAGTCGTTCTACCAGCTTTTGCGTAACTGCTGTACTTAACTGCATGGGCCTTTTCCGGTTGTATTTTTGCTGACACATTTTGAATTGACTTTTATATATGAACTGATCCCTGTTCTTTAAGTTTTACCAACTGCCAATTGTGTAAGGTGAGGTTTTCAGGGTAAAAGACTTCATAGGACACAGCATTCCTACAAGATATGCTGTGCACTATGTGGCTTTTGGACAGGTAGCTGGGATGTTTTCTTAATAGTTCCTGACAGAGGTTAGGCTTAACTACCAGATGGAGAGAATGGAGATGCAAAGATACACCACTCATTACATTTACAAGTACTTTTTCTCAAAGAAATTATTCGTTTAGACAACAATACATGACCCACTGTCTTATGAATGCCCGAACTACCAAGTTAAAAGCACATGTTAAGAGAAAACACTAATGAACTATTTACTATAGTATCTTGTCGCTCACCTGTATTTAAAGCTCTTTCTTCCACCTACAGACTATCTCAGGCTATTTTTATGGTTTCTGAAACCATCTGTTCTAACCTGTACTCACTGCTCCTTAGAATACAAATGTTAATTACCTTTTTAACATTTCCCTGCTCCTTGCTATGAGCCTCAAATGCCCCCAAGCCTTTATTAGTTTCTCAACACTCAGGCCTTTTCTCTGGTTTTCTACAAGCAGCAAAACTCAGGACTCAGCTCTCCCAATCATCTTTAGTTAGAGGGATACCAATTTGCCCTCTAGGGAGAAGTACAGAAATGAGACTGCCCTTAAATCTCAACTAATGCAGACCTTCTCCCTCCGAGTTGAATAAAGTCATTGAATTCTAACCGTCTTAAACCTCTCTTTAACAGGATGAGTTCAAACACGTCAGAGAGCTTCCTTCCCCACCTGAAGTCTGTCCAGTTCTTCATTTGGAAACTTCGGTTACCTCCCTGGGGTACATCCGTGGCTGGGGTTTGTTCCTATGATGAGGCCATCCTTCAGCCAAGTGTAGCACTTTATTATGGTTTGTTTTCATCTGTGGGTCCCATTATCTTTTTTCTCTGATAATAAATTCCCTAAGGGGCCCGAAAATGGATTCTGCCGTAGTTACTGGTTTGTCAACTGACTTTGTCCTTGTTTCTTGTTTAAGGGTCAGGAAGTTGCTATTATAGTGAATGAAATGCAGATTCCAAAGGGCCTCCGGGAGCAAATAGAAACCCCATTTAGAATGCAAACATCACTCTAAATGGTTGTTGAGGGGACTCCGCCCTGCCCCTGAAAAGTAACTCATTTTGATAGAAATTAAGAATTTGTAATTTGATAAGTCTTATAGAGCTTTTTGCTAATTGTAATTCCTCATTGTATTATATTACCGAACATTGCAGAGGGAGGACTCTCTTGCAGTTGCAAAGAATGGACTTTGGCTTAGTTGCGGGAGTTCTTGAATTTTATTACTTTACTCACTCCTGGCAGGTGATAATTGAACTAAAAATAAAGTAAGTCAGAAAACAGTGGAAAAAGAAGACAGCATAGCACCAGGCAAGAGTGGATTTTCAACAAACATTTGCTGAATAAATGAAAGAAAAGGAGAAAAGTAACCCTGAAAATTTTTAAGAGAGAGTGACTGTGGGCAAGAGCTCAGAATTTCTGGGATCAAAATCAATTAGAAACATTCAGGCCATCCCATTTTGAGCCTGAGTATGATTTTGCCATGAGGAAAACATGTGTTTCTTCTTTGAATAAAATTCTGGAGAATAAAAAGGAGGGGCAGGGGGAAGATGAATGTGAAGAAAAGCTGAATGGGATGAGCAGAAGATAAAGGCCAGGAGGGAAACATAGACTAGGGCCTGTTACGAAGAAAACCAACAGAAATTACGCGGATTTGCTCCCTCCTCTGTCCTCTCTTCTAATTCCCTTTCCTTCTTTCTTGTATTTATACTCAGAATTCCAAAGGGAGATTAAGAGCCATTTAGAAATATGTTAAGTAAGACAACACCAGGTGGCAAATAGCAATTTAATTCTCCTTGCCAGCAGAGCTAAAGACTTAGAACCTTTTCATTAGCAAAGCCGGGTGGGAGGAGAACAGGGGGAGAGGGAGGTAGGAAAAAGCCATTAAAGTGTTTGGACAAAGGTAGCACCGCGATGGATAGGCTCTTACAAGAAATCTTTTAATACGTGCATTAATTCTCCTTTTCATCTTACCGCCTGCTAGAAAAGTAGTTGTAGAGGCATTTCAGACGTGTTCTCTGGAGCAAATATTTACACCGGAGTAGTGTGTTGACACCGTGTGGCTTTGGGTTTCAGGGAGCAGCCTGGTGCCTCTCGGGACATGTAAGTACAGAAGGCAGGCCCGCCACACCCGGGAGAAGCTGGCTGGTTTCAGAGGCAGCTCCGAGAGTCATGTTTGCCTCCACAAGTCAAGTGAGCTGCTTTTTGTTTTGAAAATAGGATAAGGGGTCGGCTGATGAAGTCTTTCCCGTAGTGATGTCCTATTTGGTTTTAACCAATGGCAAAATTGGATTTTCCGAGACCCTAAACACACGCTGTGTAGATATTGATAAATACATAGCATTGAAGAGAAACTAGAATATCCTGCCACTGACATTGTAATTCTTTCAGCTTCTATACCCATTAGTACCGAGGGGCCCCTCGGCGGCCCGGCGGCCCCTCATCTACTTCGGAGGCCCAGGATGGGGGAACCCTGGGGCTCCTGAACTGAATCATAAGAAAAGGTTCCCATTTTCCCCCTTTTTTCCCTTTAAGTTATGGACTCTTCTTTTGTGTGACGATCAGTAGGTGCGAATTGAAGAAGCAGGTAGAAAGTTTCTCCCCCCGAGGGAACTGAATATAAGGAGAGAAAAGTGCAGCGGCAATGAGGTGAGCTTCCCAGGACTTGGACGGCGGGCCCGCGGGTGTCCTGTCTGACCAGACCCCCTGTCATGAAACAGGAGGAGCCCAGAGTGGTCCTTGGACAAATTCAGAAATGCTGGCTGGGCTTTTCCTTTCCCCCTCTGCCCTGCTGACAGATGGGCTTGCACTGCTATGGTTACGGGAGGACACCCCCCAGGTCTTAGGACAGGCGGGCGGGCAGTCATCATGTGGCCTCCCTGTGCGTGCGCAGGCGGAGCCGGTCCTGTCAGACGTTAGGGTCACAGACTCTAGGCCCGAAGATGTAACGCTGTTTGGAATTTCCCTTTTTAAAAAAAAGTGATAAGCTAACATAACATTGTATGTTAAGTATACTGGAAGAAAGTAAATAAAAACAAAGCAAAACAGAAAGTGATGCTGTGGTAAACAATAGTAAGACCGATTTTAAATGTTTTCAAACTGTTGTTTTTTGTTTGTATAACATTAAGAGCTGGGGCCTAAGAATCAGACTGGGATCAAATCCTGCGCCAATGGCCTCAGTTTGCTCATCTGTAAGTGGGGTTAATAATAGAATTTAAGTCATGTATCATGATCTTTGTGAGGGCTAAATGAGTTAATGCATATAATAAAGCACTTTCGATGCTTGTCTCCTCATAAGCATCAAATAAATTTGACATTAATCTGTTATTAAATAGATTGAACAACTTTGTTCTCAAGGCCTCAGTTTGTTTCACTGAAGTTCTAAAATAGCAGGCACTTTTGCATTTTATTGAGTCGGCCCAGAGGTCTAGATTCACATCGTGACCTTCCAAAGCTGCAATAGCCGGTCCTTCTTGTCAAATGCCCGAGGACCTGATTCCCACACACAAAACCAAATAGAGAATTAGTCAGGTTACCAGTACGAGATTTATCTGAAAAGTTGTTTCTCATCCTTGGGAATTTGCCTTCGGAAAAGAATTATTTTCTACTTTCCCTGAATACTAAGTCTCGGACCTGTGACTTATCCATAAAGGGGAGCATAACAACCCCAGCTTTCATTCATTTAGTTTTTCATCATATATTTATGGAGAACTTACTGTATCATTTGCTAGGAATTAGATGTCAAAGATGAACAAGACATAATCAGTATTGAGGAATTTAGTTAGGGGAACCGTATGGACATCCAAATATGGTGATGTGAGCTGTAAGCCAGATCTGGGGAGGCTGAAAAGGCTTCACTGAGTAGGTGGTATTATTTCTCGAAGGGTGAATAGAAGCTTGCCAAGATGAAAACAGTAGAGAAGTCCATTCTAGAAAAATGATATATCGTGTGCAAAGGACCAACAGTCAGCAAAGGCCCTCGGTTATTGAGCAGATGGGCGAGAAGTTTGGCGTCACCGGGGCATGGGATCCTCTCTTTTCTACTGCGTAGCTGCTCCTGCCGAGCCATACTCTTCGGGGCTGAGTAGACGGCAAGAGCAGTGACTACCTCCAGCTCTGGTGCTCAGACCCAGAGGGAGGCTACTAACACATCTCCAAAAGAACCACCAAGGATCAGGCCTCAGAAGCTTATGAAACGAGTTACCCGAGTGAAGGGTCATGGCAGAACTCGGCACAGCCAGAAGGGATGGTGAGCCCGAGGGGCGATGCTTGCAGGAGCCAGCAGGATTCGTCGAAAGGCCTAGGACAGTGCAGATGCAAGTAAACAAGGAGCTTTGGGGGCGGAGAGGTGCAGGCTTGAGGTTGTGAAGTGCCTTTTATGTCTTTCCAAGGTGTTGAGTTTTGCCTTTTCCTGCAGGCGAAGGAGAGCTGGTAGACTGTCTTCACACCTTTGCAGTGTGGAGTAGGTTTGGGAAGGAAAGGGGCCAAGACAGGAACTCATGTTTAGTGAAGATGGCGTTGCAGTGCCTCTGGGGCCCCTGCCAAGGTCTGAAGAAAGACTGGTACTGGAGATGGAGAGGAGGGATAGACAGACTATGGAGGCATTTCAGGACCCTGCAACGCTGGATGAGGGTGGGGAAGGAGGAACAGTTTTGCCGAGGACAGTGCTCAAAGAGAGTCTGGCTGGGGTTGGGCGATGTTGGAAGCCGGGGTTTATGTGTGGAGCCTGGAGCAGCTCAGCCACAGAGAGCTAACTTTTTTCAAGGCGCTGAGCTCACTGTTTCACATGGGTTAGTGCTTTCGCTCGTACTGCACCCCTACAAGTGGGGTGGGACTACTCCAATGAAGACCAGGGGAACTGAGGCACAGGGAGGTGAAGGAGCTGCCCATGTTTACACAACTGTACGTGGCATGCTAGGTCTGGGACCCATGACCACCTTGCTCTTCACCTCTGTTCCTGCCTTCCTGGAATATTGAGAAGTAATCTTGGTTTAAAAAAGTTTGAATTAGGGACACCTGGGTGGCTCAGTCCGTTAAGCATCTGCCTTCAGCTCAGGTCATGATTCTAGGGTCCTGGGATCGAGTCCCACGTCAGGCTCCCTGCTCAACGGGGAGCCTGCTTCTCCCTCTGCCTGCCGCTTCCCCTGCTTGTGCTCTCAAGTTCTCTCTCTCAACTAAATACATAAAATCTATAGGGAAAAAAAAGTTTGAATTATTCCTAGATTTTGGAGGATAGCTTGAGCAGATCCACTAGGGCCTATTTGCATGAGTGGCTGAGGAATCCTAAGCAAATAACTCACTGGAGGGAAGATACTGAGAGAGAAAGGCCCCCGGCAGCAGAGGATGTGCTCCTGATGGCCAGCCCATGTTTCCCCAGGGACAGAGTACAGCAGGTGGAAAAATGAAAGGCCCGTTTCACACACGTCTCCTTAGGACACGGTAAAACAGACCGGTGAAGGTGGTCTCAGGAGGATTGGAGGCCTGAGGCCCAGGGTGGATAGGAGGTTGCATAAACCTTGTCAGAGCATTGGCAGACTTAGCCATCATCAAGATGGCTCCAGGGGCTAGAGGGAGGAAAATAAAGTCTCTTCTGTAGCAGCCAAGAGACCTCTCAAACAGATCCATGACACTCCTGGGGGCTTCTCTGAACCCTGGAGAATAATCTACAAAAGGTTGAGGTTCTTACAACTCTGCCAGTGGTCAGGGTCACGGGCAGTGTTTTGCTATCGTAACCCTATTTTCTCCTCAGGCAAGAGCACAGAGCATAGGCTATGTGATAAAGAACAACAAAAGCCAGCCCCAGTTGACACTTCACTCTGTCCCATGTGTGGCACTAAGAGTTGATGTATATTCTCTTATTTAACCACCAAGATAATACCAAGAGGTAAATGCTATTATTGCCCCATCCTACACATGAGAGAATGGGCCGAGAAGAGATATCCGTAAGTTCTGTTCTGAGTTAAAAGCTTATGAACCGAGGATCCTATAAGCCTATTGTGATCACCACTTTTTTCATATTGAATCAAAAAGTCCAGTTTGAATACACCTTACACAAATTCTAAGGCTACTTTCAAGATGGCCAACATCTTCTTCTTTAATTTGAAGTTTGTTTTCTCAGCTGACTGGATTTGTCTCCAGCACCCTGGAGGTGTGAAATGACATCACCATCTGATCAGCATCTAAAAACATTTTGGCTAATTTAACAAATAGAGATCTTGAATGTGCTCTCTTAATTATCTTTAACCATTTGAGCATGCTGCGTGAAAACCCTGGGTAGGCAGCCTGTTCTGCAATTTGTTTTTGAAACAAGCTTTTTAGTCTCACGGGCTGAGAGGATTCTGTTTAAAGGGTGTACACTGTGAATCACAGTTTCAAAGGAAGACGACAAATACAAATCTCAGCCAAGCAATTTGTGAAACTGGATTGCTGACAGAAATCCAGGAAGCAGCAGAAAAACAACCAAACACAAAAACATAGTCAAGTGCCTGGATGTAATCTGAAGTAACGAAGTGGAATGAGCCCCGGGATGACATGATGACACAAGGGAGCAGAGATTGAACAGGCTGTCTTGTTTTGAAAAACAAGGAGCGCAGTTGATCTGAGCCCTGAGAACATTCCACAGACCCAGGGTGGCGGGCTCTCCTGCATTTGGTATACAAGCTGCCTTCACCTGCTCCTGATGTGTGTTCAGTTCACCGCGGGGACAGGGAACTGAATGTTTCCTCCATTAGATTTTCCTCCATTAGATTCAGATGCTTTATTACGTTCACTAAGCTCAAGCAATACAAAGCTCTTTAGCGATTACTTTTATCATCATCACAGCCAACACTTATGGAGCACTCTACTTTCAAAATGGATCAGAGTCTGTCTGGTCCTCACTTGAATGTAAGCTCCCTGAGGGCAGGGATTTTCACTTATTCTGTTCACTGATGTATTCACAGTACTTAGAATAGTGCCCGACACACCCCTGATGTTCGTTAATGTTTGGTGAATGAATGGATGGATGAACAACCTCATGCTTGCACTTGGGCAGGCAGTATTCTAAGTGCTTTACTGATTCATTCAATCTTGATCGCAATCCTGTGATGTTGGCATTTATTATTATTCCTATTTTACAGATGAGCCAACGGTGTCCCAGAGAAGTTAATTTGCTTGTGCACAATCGTGGCAGAGGCAGAATCAAACCCAGGCAGTCTGACTCCAAAATCTACCTCTCTGTGCGTAACTGTCACTCTTTCATGCTAATACAACTGGTCTTCAAGCTTCCTATTTCCACTGTTAGTTTTTCCTTAGTCTCGCTACATTGACTTCCACATAATGTTCTTCCAACAGGTCAACCTATTTTATCAGACTTTTTTACACGTAAAAGAAAACTTTTACTTTGTTCTTTTTAAAGCACACAGTATACTATGTTCCTATTGCTTATGCCAAAGGGCTTTGAATTCATTTACATGCAGAAAACAATTAAGACTGGAGAATAGAAATATTACTTTGGGGAGGATGCTAAATTTATATTTTCTTTTAAGGACAAGCTAAGCTATTATGATTTTTAAATAAAAATGTGTTTATACTCAATTTTTTTTCTGTGGCACGGTATAAATATCATTTTTTAGAAGTAAGTAATATGGCACAGAATTACCCAGGCCATAAAATTATAAATCTAAGTTTTTATTCTTTAATTTTTATGTAGCCTTCCTAATTCTTCAGGGCAATTTTATCTCTTTAAAGCAATCAGATATGTGTAAATGATACTGCATTTAGAGAGGTACAGACTTACCACTGGAGAGGTGAACCCATGTTAGGTAACTACAAATTGCAGCCTGGGCTGAGCAATCCTTTTTCTCGTAAGACTTCTTTTAAATTGGATATGTCTAAGTTTCCTTGCTCAGGCAAAGGAAAAGTGAGGGCAACTTCTGGTTTGCCACTGTATTCTGTGGAGTTTCCTTAAGGAATTTTTTCAATTCCATTTTGAACATGCTAATTTACAGCATCAAGTTTCCCTATGTGATAAAGTTCTACCCTCCACCTTTTCCATCTGATTTCCTGCCATCTCCTACCCCTCGTGCCCTCCCAGCTCATGAAAATCATGCTCCAGCTATCACTGTTCCCACAGATTGGTCAGTCCTTTCGTATTTAAGATGAGGATGGCAAGAGGAGGTAGTGAAATTTTGCTGAGTACGTGACCATCTCCCTTTTGCTTTGGAGGTCTTCAGACTGTCATTCAGTAGCACACGTGAATAAGGACACAGCATTGAACAGAGTCCTTTATTAGTAGTAATTTTTATAAGTTACACCAATTCCTTGCAAAAAGCTCAGTTTTAGAGCCATAGACTCTTAAGAGAGACCTTAATAATCATCTCATACAATCTCTCAGGTAACTCAGACATTGTGTATTTGCTAACTCATTACCAAATTATATTAGTAGAAAACCAAAGTTACAATTACATTCTTTAAAAAATATTATTTTTCCGGGGCACCTGGGTGGCTCAGTCAGTTAAGCCTCCAACTCTGGATGTTGTCTCAGGTCATGTTCTCAGAGTTATGAGATCGAGTCCCAAGATGAGTTCTGCACTGGGTATGGAGCCTGCTTAAGATTCTCTTTTTCCAGGGCGCCTGGGTGGCTCAGTCCTTAAGCATCTGCCTTTGGCTTGGGTCACGCTCCCAGGGTCCTGTGTTTGAGCCCTCTGCTTGGCGGTGGTCCTGCTTCTCCCTCTCCCACTCCCCCTGCTTGTGTTCCCTCTCTTGCTGTGTCTCTCTGTGTCAAATAAATAAATAAAATCATTAAAAAAAAAAAAGATTCTCTTTTTCCTTCTGTCCTCTCCCACCCTCTCCTACCTTCCCCACCCTCACTCACGCACCTGCACTCCCACGCTCTCCCTCTCAAAAAAATTATTTTTCCTATTAGAAAATGTTTATGATTAACACGGGAAAATACTTCTATATAATTTGTGTCTACCTCAAATTTAGCTGAGTTATTAGAAACTATTCTTATGAAATTCGACAAAGCCCCTTTTCTTTTGGACAACTTCTCCATTTGAGAAGGACAACGCAAATGTGAAATCTGAATCT